AGCGTGCGCAATGTGAAGTATGTGTGTCGTGCCGGTGGCCTTGTGCTGGGCGGCATGTCGTGTGGCGTTGCGTCGTTCGTTCTTGCGACAGTGCCGTGCGTTTTTCAGCTCGTTCCTCTAACTAACACACATGCATCTGTCTCATCTCCCTGCTTGCAGGTTGCTAGTGATGGCGGCAAAGCCGTGGACACATTTTTGTCTGTGTGCGTGTGCGCCCGCTTGTGTCTGTGCGCACCTCATGCAACGCGTCAGCCCTTCTAATCATGCCTGTGCAACTCTTTCTCTCATGCTTGCAGTGGCTGGTGAGGGCAGCGTCAGACTCCTTCACATCGCGCACTCTGGGCAGGGTCGGTGTCCGCAGCAACCCCGCGTCCGATTCTGAGGGATAGGTGGCTCTGGCAACGGATCCTGTCGTCGTGGCAACGGACACCTCGGTTGTCGTCGTGGCGACGGATGGATGGATCGCTCGTCGTGGGGCCAAAGGCACATTCTTCGTCCATGAATCGACAATCTCTCTCTGTGTCTATCTGAGCGTCTTCTCTCTCTCTACTCTCTCTCTCTCTCTCTCTCTCTCACTCTCTCTCTTTCTCTCTCTCTTTCTCTCTGTGTCTATCTGAGCGTCTTCTCTCTTTCTCTCTCTCTCCTTCTCTCCTCACTCTCTCACTCTCTCGTCTTACTCTCTCATGCTCTCTCTCTCTCTCTCTCTCTCTCTCTCTTCTCTCTTCTGCTCTCTCTCTCTCTCTCTCTCTCTCTCTCTCTCCTCTCTCTCTCTCTCTCTCTCTCTCTCTCTTCTCCTTTTTTATCTCTCTCTCTCCTCTCTCTCTCTCTCTCTACTCTCTCTCTCTCTCTCCCTCTCTCTCTTCTAACTCATCTCCACTCTCCCCATCTCCCTCCTTCCCTCCCTTCCTCCGTCTTCGTCTTCATCTCACCCACTCTCTCAAGTTGTCGCTTGCACATACTTCTCGTTCTGGTCTCCAGTAATGAAACAATGACGCTAAGATCAGACAAAGAAACCCCATCACAGCAGATAACACACAGAGTTATACAGAATATACTACCGACATACATATTAAACCGATTAATCTGCGAACATCAGTAATGATTGGAACATGTGCATAATCACATGTATGATAATCTAACCGAGATGACAATGGTACGCTATTCGCTGATACGATTACCTGATGACATGGTACGCTATTGCATGATACGATTATCTGATGACATGGTACGCTATTCCATGATACAAATTATCTGATGACATGGTACGCTATTGCATGATACAATTACCTGAATGACATGGCTACGCTATGCCATCGTATACAATTATCTTGATGACCATGGAACGCTTAATTCCATGATACAATTACCTGAAGCCATGGTATAGTACGCCATTGCAGTGATACGGATTATCTGAATGACATGGTACGACTATTCCATGATAACAATTATGATGGACATATAGTACGCTATTGCATGATACGATTACGTGATGACATGGTGTGCTATCGCATGGTAAATTTATCCGATTATGTAATATAGTGAGTGATAGAGAGTCCTAGAGCAGTAGGTGCATCGTTAGCGCCCTCGTTATGTTCAGCGAGCGATGCGGCAGCAGCGGCGGCGGCGGTCGGGGTTCACGTAAGGAAGGCCCGTCGTGCAATCGTTGCCGCGGCAACGCCTGCGTCACAGCTTCTGCCCGCCGCACGACGCCAGGCTGGTTACTGGTCGTCGTGGCGACGGTCCGCACGAATTCTCGCCACGTAGTTGTGAACTCCCAGGTCGCTTCTTGCAGCCGGCAGGGGGCGCCGATGCACGTGCCGACTGGTATAGATGGCGCTGCTGTATAATGCTGTTACTGCTGGCAGACACAGGGGGGCGCCACTGCCGGCACGATTGTTGTTGCCAAGCATAGGTGGCGCTGGTGAGGTTGTATAATGGGTCGCGTTACATGCGACTGCGTCTTTCCCGGAACTATATGGCCATGGTTGTATCCCCAGATGCAGTGGGAACACTCGTTTTTTTTTACGATTTTAATTAAGAATATTGTTGAGATTTATGGAGAGATTCGCTGCTAGGTGCAAGTCCAAGTTGTTTAGGTTTTAACTAGGTAATTTATAGATTTATTCCTGTGTGTCGAGTCGATTCCGCTGTCATAGGTTAATTCGTCTATTTTGATTAAAATCGGTTAAAGCGTTGGTATGTGTAAATGGATTTATCGACACCGCCAATGGTTGTATGCGCGCTGGTGTCAGTGACAAGGGGGACCGTTGTCAGTTTAAATCTGCTGTGCAATTGTGTATATAAATATTATTAGTGTACTTTAATAGTCGGTGATCTATCAGAAATCGCGTAAAAAAGTCTTATTTTGGCCTCCAGAAAGGGTCTTATAAGTCCTTATTTCAACATGTGTCTTACTACTATGAACCCTGTATGTAGCTAACACAGCCTTGCTGTTGTTCAGCTGGAAAAACTTGAAAAGCTCTGACCTCTTTGTAACAACTCGGAGCGTACGGCCGACGTCAAATCGCGGTGATCCTAAACGATTCTACGGGGCTGCGTTATCCACGCGATTGTTGGGGGTTTCGTATCGGTGGCGCCCCCTGTGCCGACGTGTCGCGTCGGTGGCGCCCCCTGGTGCTGAGGTCTGTCGTCGTTCTCTGTTTGCAGCAAAGAAAAAATACCTTTTTTTCATGGGAGCTCTTTTCCAAGTCTGTGGGGAAAAATAACTCTCATAAAAAATTTTACGCGAGCTATTTTGAGCCTCACGGCAGCGATTTCGGAGGTTTGAAGAGCGAATCGCTCATCGCTCCCGTGTATTTTTTACCCTGGTCCCCTGTGCCGACGTGTCCCGTCGGTGGCGCCCCCTGGTGCTGAGGTCTCTCGTCGTCCTGTGTTTGCAGATAAGGACCGTTACATCGGTAGCTTCCGCGGCGGACAGGAGCTGCAGCAGCATCTGCAGAAGGTGGACGAGACAGCCGTCATTCGCTCAGACCACAACCAGCCCAACTCAGTCAGGTAGGGGGACGGCGGCAGTCTAGCCGCACGATTCGGCGTGGTTTGCCGTTTGAGAGCGGTGTGTGTTTGTGTGTGTGGCGTGCGAGTGTGCGTGTGTGAGTATGTGTGTGTGTGCGTGCGTACGTGCGAGTGCGTTTGCGTGGGCGTGCGTGTGTGCGAGTGCGTGCGCATGTGAGTATGTGTGTGTGCGCGTGCGTGCGTGCATGTGTGTGCGTGCGTGCGTTCGTTCTTGCGAGCGTGCGTGCGTTTGTCAGCGTCGTTCCCTCTAACTAACACACGTGCATCTGTCTCTCTCTCTCTCCCTGCTTGCAGTGCTAGTGCGGGCAAGCCGTCGGACACAGTTTCGTGCGTGTGCGTGCTTGTGTCTATACGCACCTGTACACGCGTCAGCCCTTCTAACACGCGTGCATCTCTTTCTCTCTGCTTGCAGTGCTGGTGAGGGCAAGCCGTCGGACACAGCTTTGTGCGTGTGCGTGTGCGTGTGCGCGCTTGTGTCTGTACGCACCTATGCACGCGTCAGCCCTTCTAACATGCGTGCAACTCTCTCTCTCTGCTTGCTTGGTGGCATGTGTGTGTGCGCGTGTGCGTGCGTGCGTGTGTGCGTGCATGCGGATGTGAGTGCGTGTATGGTGGCATGTGTGTGTGCGCGTGTGCGTGAGTGCGTGTATGCCTATGGTGGCATGTGTGTGTGCGGGTGTGCGTGCGTGCATGAGTGCGTGTATGCTTATGGTGGTATGTGTGCGTGCGTGCATGTGCGTGCATCACTGTATAGAATGGTCACCAACCATCTTGGTGTTTGTCTCCTGATTGTCCACCTCTTCATTATACATGATGTTACAGGGGTAGAAATTAACTTTTGAACACGGGAGTCCAACTAGCCTCAAAATGAGGGAGTCCGTAGTCTGAGGTTCAAAATTAAAGATATTAACATTAACGCATGTGCTTATTTTGAAGATTCATGCGGTTACACGTCTGCCAAAATTTCCTTGGAAATTTGCTGAAAAAATACGGTAATTCCGCGAGGCCGTGCTCCGGAACGAACTAGTTAGTATGGCAGAATTTTCAGGGAGTCACACGGACTCTTGCATATGTCAAATCAGGGAGTATTTGACTCCGGATTCCGGTTAATTTTGCACCCTGATGTTATGTCGCTATGTGTTTACAGGGCTGTGGAGTGGGTGTTCAGCGTGTCTACAGTAGAGATACGCTCTCTGTAACCGTCACCGTGTGTTTACAGGGCTGTGGAGTGGGTGTTCAGTGTGTCTACAGTAGAGATACGCTCTCTGTAACCGTCGCCGTGTGTTTACAGGGCTGTGGAGCGGGTGTTCAGTGTGTCTACAGTAGAGATACGCTCTCTGTAACCGTCACCGTGTGTTTACAGGTCTGTGGAGCGGGTGTTCAGTGTGTCTACAGTAGAGATACGCTCTCTGTAACCGTCACCGTGTGTTTACAGGGCTGTGGAGCGGGTGTTCAGTGTGTCTACAGTAGAGATACGCTCTCTGTAACCGTCACCGTGTGTTTACAGGGCTGTGGAGTGGGTGTTCAGTGTGTCTACAGTAGAGATACGCTCTCTGTAACCATCTGTCATCATACTAACCGCACGCGTTGTTGTGCTTACAGACTGCCTGCTGCCGGCGGAGGTGCCTGTACCGCTGTGTCACACACCTGTCATCATACTTGACGACCTGAGCAAGATCGCCGTGTCCGAGGTGTTTGGTGACATTCTGACTGCCATCGAGCGACGCGGCCCTGCCAACGCCATCGCCATCAAGCTAGGTAACCACGGTAACCGAGGTAGCTAAACTGATTCCATGTGGCGTGTTCTGGGGAAAGTCTAGAATGTCAATTAAATTTGCTTCGCGCAAGCGTTTTCTTTTACTAAACGTACTAAAAGTTTTACGGGGACCGTCGTAAAATCTCGAGTCGACGGGCGAGGATTCGTTTTGCGCGTCTGTGTCGTAAATTCCTTGCGTAGCTGCACGTCCCAGGAATGCTGTACGATGCTCGTGATGTTGATAAGGCCGAAAAAGGCTTGTTTCCGCTAACCCGGTCCATTTTAAACCGCCATGTCGAAACTTTATTGTGATCTGCCAATAAACAATAAACTGTTAATAAACAAAATCCCAACGTGATATCGATCAGTGAATGATTTGACTTTGAAGTCATTATATGGGCTGTTATAAGTATAAAACAAGTATTGTTAGAATACAAAAAAAAAAATTTGATAAAAAAAAGTTTTGCCTGCCTACCGTGTCCAATATTTTTCAATATGTAACTTATTATTATTTATTATAACTTATATGTAACTCTATTCCACTAGGGATCGTGGTAGGGGTTAACTAACGTGTGCGCGTGTTTGTGTTTGTGTTGGCAGATGATGGAAGTGAACCCCAGCTTTACTACCTGCTCGCAGATTGCTACATCATTGCCACGATGGACAAGTCAAGGTAAATAACTCGCACTCACCATCTCCACGTGCGCGCGTGTAGGTCTGTGTGTACGTGTATGTGTGTGTTTGTATATGCATCTGAGCGAGAGAGTGTGTGTGTGTGTGTGTACAAGTGTGAGAGTGTGTGTACATGTGTGTGTGTACATGTGTGAGAGAGTGTGTGCGTGTACATGTGTGGGTGTGGGTGTGTGTGTACATGTGTATGTGTGTGCGTGACTGTGTGGGTGTGTGTGTGTGTGAAGCTTCACAGCAGCTGTATAATGTACACGTTTGGTAAAATTAAAATTTGCATATTACTTTTTACATATAATCATTTTTACACATAAAAAATATCGGTTATGTACACTGTGTATTCGAACTGATCATTGATCGCGATTGATTAGGTATTAGCACACACCCACACACACACGCTCGTACGCACGCACACACCCACACACGCTCGCTCGCACGCACGCACGCACGCACACACACACCCACACACGCTCGCACGCACGCGCCGCCACGCGCGCACGCACACACATACACGCTCGCACGCACACCTAAATACACGCACGCACGCACACACGCATAGACACACACGCTCGTACTCACACCTAAATACGCACGCATGCACGCGCGCACACGCTCGCACGCACACAAACGCACGAACACACGCACTCACTCACTCACTCACTCACTCACTCACTCACACACACATTCATGACCAGTAACGACTATCAGCATAACTTGCATTACCTTAAAGCGAGAAGAGCCTGCGACTCAGCGCACGATGCCACGCACGCACACATTACACGGCGCCAACACACGTCATTGATAGGGACACATACCACGACGCACCACACGCACGCTCACGTGACGCCACCGCACCATACACACGCCCACCCGGCACGCACTGACTGACACGCGCCCACGCACGCAGCGTACACCCACGACCTGCACACACACAGCGTACGCACATGGCCGCACTGTTGACAGCCACGGCACGCACACCCGCACGTACGCACAACAGCAGCGTAGCAACTGAGCCATATCGCACGCGCGGTCGCGAGCCACACGACCATGGCATAGGACTGCCACGACCGAACACACCCCGCCCGCACGCGTGATGGCAGGTTTTTCGATGGTGAACGCACGTCGCTGCGGGCGAGTGGAAGTGTGAGCCGACAGGGTCTTAAGACTTTCGGTTGCCGTACGCTGTCTACAGGGCGTTCATAGGTGACTACAACTCGGTGGTTGTGGCTGTCAGAAATCAAAAATTGGTCAACCTGCAAGACTCGCGAACATAGTTTCCGGCCGCCACAGACACCATTCACAGAACCATTGTAAAGTTGACGAGTTTCATCATACTGCGTGTATAATGAGTCGCGCCCCGTGTATCAGCAAACTCAAGAATTTGCTCTTACATTTAGTCCTCTTGAGCACTTTCTCTTACATTAACTTTATGTTTCTTAGAACTCGTTTGACTAGAGAACACCGCTGCGAGAGTTACGCGCAGGAATGAAAAATCGCGTAAGCGAGGCTCTCGCCTCGTAATAACAATGACGAACACTAATGCTTGCGTCTGTCGGACCGGTCTTACCGAGAGAGAATTTAGTTAGTGTTTAAGGACTAAGTAGTTTAAATGTTAGCTAATTCTTTGTGTGTCGACAACCGGGCCCCCCGGTCTACGATAAAACAGTTATGCTCTCCACACTCAATGCTTCTTCTTGCGTTCCTTTCGTCTCGCAGCTTTATTAGTACTCACCACATCAAGCCGTGAGGATCGCTGCCTAATGTTACACTAACGTTAGACAACTTCGGTTTCTGACAAGCGGGTCCCCCTTGGTCACATGACACATGCAGTCGACAGCACGTACAATCTCATTGGCTCTTTTAAGGTGCGTAAGACAACGCCTTGTCGTGAGCCACTAGAAACTCATTGTTACACTGTTAGCAACGCTGTTGACGATGTATTTATAAGTCTCATAGACATTGGCACGAATGTGCATCTGATAGACAGGCGCTCGGATCGTACTCGACAATCACAGGATAAGATGTCTCTATTACAGATTAGCTCGTTAAAATCCTAGAATATGCCAACTTCGGTCATGGAAACTTTGCAGACCTGAGTAGAGCAGCATTCTCTCCATAGAATCTCAACAGATAGCTATTATCGTCTAATGTAGAAATCCGTAGAGGCAAAATAGAAGACGGAAAGGTATCCCCACTGGCTCTCTGGGAGGTACAACCATGGCCATTATAGGTTTCCGGAAATGACGCAGCAGCGGCGGCGCAAGTTCGCATAGTAACGCGAGCCCGATGTATTGACAACTCACCAGGCGCCACCTATGCCTTGGCGAACAACAATTCGTTGGCGGCGAGCTGGGCGGCCGCCCCTGTGTCTGCCGAGCAGTAGATCAGCATTATTACGCAGCGCCATCTTCATACAGTCGGCACGCCGTGCATCGGCGCCCCCTGGCCGGCCCTGCAAGAAGGCGACCTTGGGGAGGTTCACCAACTGCCCGTTGGCGAGAATTCGTGCGGACGTCCGGCCACGGGGGTCGTACCGAGCAACGCACGAGCGCGCGAGAGCGACTAGTCGCGAAGCTGAAAGTAAAACCCATGCACATTGAAAAGCAGGCAATCTTTGGCGTAGCGTTCGGTTGCGGAGCAGCGAAGATATACAAAGCAAGAGGTAGCGACGAGGCAAGCGCAAAGCAGCAGACAGCAGCATCGCAGAAAGCGAAGACAAAGTGGCAGTACAACCATCGAACATTATTTGCAGCATACCAGCCCAGCCAGCAGTAGCAGTAGCAGCTAAAAGGCAACAAGGCGGGAGCAGCAGCAGAGCAGCAAAGTAGTGAGCAGGC